TTGCAAGGTAATCGAAAACCACTTTGGGTTTGAAAATGTTATTTTGATACCTGGTTGCCATTCGATTTGATGGTGAGACTGGAATTGGATGTGGAGATGCATATGGACTACTATCTTGAGAAGGATAAAAAGACAAAGAATGAGTAGGAGGACTTACAATTGAGCCAGTTGGCACGTCATCCAGATGGCCTTGAGTCTGCAATCCGTGAGTAGACATGGAGTTGACCAAATCAGTAGTAGTAAGAGTTGGAATAGGGTTTGCAACAACAGGTGAAACAGGTTGTGAGGAAGAGGAAAGACCAGAGGGGTCATCTGGACACAACCATTTTTCCATGTGTGATACTTGTGGACGAGATAGTTGAGGATAGTTGGTTGTGAATGGAAAAATATGTTCAACGAATACGGCATGCCTAGAGATTAGACTTTTAAAGTGGCAAGGTCTAGGCAATCATAACTATTTGTGGCAGTGGAATATCCCATAAATACACAAGGATTGGACTTGGGATCAAGTTTGGTTGATGTGTAGGGCTTTAACCATGGATAGCAAAGACAACCAAAGACCCTTAGTTTAAGAGGGTTTGGGGTGGTATTAAAGAGACACTGAAATGGAGATTTAAGACCAAGAAGTGGTGTTGGCAACCTATTAATGAGGTAGACTGTAGATTGGAATACGAGAGACCAAAATTTGAGAGGGACAGAAACATGGTGAAGAAGAGTTAAAGCAGTGTCCACAACGTGACGATGTTTTCTTTCGGCAGTGCCAACTACTTGAGGAGTGTATGAAGGGCTTATGAGATGTTGGATCCCAAAGCTCAAGAGAGTGGATTTAAGGCCAATGTATTCACCTCCGCCATTAGTGTACATCGTTTTAATTCTCAATTGAAATTGGTTTTGAACCATTAGAACAAACTTAGTGAAAATTTCCTTCACATATGATTTGAATTTTAAAGGAAACAACCAAGTATATTTTGTGAAATGATTAACAAAAATAATATAGAATCTGAAATTATCAAAAGAGATAGTTAGAGAAGGACCCCAAACATCTGAGTAAATAACATCAAAAGGCCTAGAACTTGTAATTGAATTGTCACCAAATCGTAGCCGATGATTCTTATTGCATAAACAAAAATTACAGAATGTAAAGGACTCGACATGGTCCACTGGTAGGTTGAAAGACGAGACACAAGCTTTGGTAATACGAGGTTGAGGATGACCAAGACGAGCATGCCACAGATGCAATGATGGAGATGTTGATGCAACAAAATGTGCTTGAGGACTAGGTGTGACTGATTTGGTCATGTCCACGGGCCACTCATAGAGATCACCATTACTCTTGCCTTGAAGAAGACATGCCCCCATGCTCAAATCCTTCACAGCAAAAAAATAAGGAAAAAATTCAATGGAAGTTAGATTTTGTCTACAAAATTAAGCAACAGAAATCAACTTCTTTTTTATAGATTGAGAGGAAAGAACATCTTTTAAAAGAAATTTGGCTGCAAAACTAGGAGAAGAAAAAGTAGTGTGACCAATATGAGTAATAGGAATTCGTTTACCATCACCAATAATTATTGCATCCGTTTAAGAGAACTCAGTTGGAATCTGGAGAGATTGAGAGTTGTTTGTAATATGATAAGAGGCTCCAGAATCAATAACCCAAGGGCTTGGGGAACGAGTGAACCACTACAAGCCAAATCATCTGCAATGGACTTGATTTCTCTCATATAATCACTGATTGAACGTGCATCTCGTTTTACATTTGCTAGAGTATCGCGCAAACTAAAAATTCTTGAGTGCGATTTGCTGGCATAAGTTGTTTGGAGAATATCCCAAGCTTCTTTGGCAGTGGAAGCATGGGTGATGAGGGGAGCGATTGTAGTGTCAACTGATGCCATAATAGCATTGCGAACAAGACTGTCTTGTCGCTGCACAATCTCAAGTTGGGTTGGGAATTTGGTTATTGTCTTTGTCCAGAGACTGCGCATTTGGGATGGGAAGTGAGCCGTAATTAAATAATCGTCTGGTAACTTGGGATTTCCAAGTTGGATAATTTGCACTTCCTATTAATTTGAAGGATAGTTGGGATGCAGGGTCAAAAGAGATCAATTGAGAGGGCTGAACGACACCTCCTTGATTGAGAGTGACTGTTGGAGAGTTAGGGGACGAGGAAGAGGAAGTATCAAGCATTCTGGAACAAAAAGGAAGCGTCGGAATGCTGGGGAAAAAAAGGACCAGATATACTCGTTAAAGTATATAGTAGGCTCTTGATACCATATAACTGGACATAAGAGACCTAAAGAGAAGAGGAAATAACTACGTATAACTCAAACATACTAACGTACTAGGACTCTACATCATTATCCTTATCAGCTTCTACCTTTTATCCTTTCATTCTTACATAAGTGAAAAATGAAACCTAATTGCATTTATTATTAGCTACGCTGAAGTTTTTCCGAAAGATTTCACTTATAAGTTGGGGAATGTTTTCTTTCTTGCTCAATTGGTATATTAGTAACTTCTGAGTTCATCCATATAATGATATAATGCAGAGTAAGCATTGATTTTCTTGTATGTCGCAATTCCAATTATTCTTTTGGTATTTTGCAAAACTCTCACATGACCCTTATTTAAATAAGCAGCTCTTGACGCATCAAGCATATCTCAAATGTAATTGCATTGACTATACCTTATTTGATATGAGCTTTCTTTATTCTGTGTTCCAATCAAGTTTGTAATAAAATGTTTAGCGAGGTCAAAGTGATGTCTCCTCATTTTGGACTTAGATGGGATATACTATTAAATATTGATGACCTATCGATGTAGGATTAAGGTTTTATTACTACAATTTAATATATGATAATCTATATGTTCCTTCACTTGCACCAGATTCCTGAAACTGGTGTAGCGCTATGGATAGTGCTCTTCTTCTTGTGGATTGTTACTACAATGACAAGACTGAGATTGTGGTGGTTCTGTTGGGTATTGTTTGTCCTAAGTTTCTTACCATAAATAGGTTTCCTTTTAGGAAAATTTGACTAATCTTTTTCTTGGAGGAAAAGGTTTAGGAATCTATAAATATAAGTTTGTTCCTTGTGACTTAATCATCATTCACAATGTAGTCCTAGGGTTTGGAGAGTTTCGGTTATGGGGGAGAATTTGTGAACCTCTTTGTATTCCGAGTGAATTGGTTGAGGTTATTTCTCTCTATATTTTGTACTCTCATATTTAAAATATAGTGGATTGCTCATCTCATTTGTGGATGTTAGGTCGATTGACCGAACCACGTTAAATTTTTGTGTCTTTTAGTATATTTCTCGTTTGTCTTCTTACTCATGGTCTTTCGAGGTTTGCTTTGCTAGCTTCCACATTACACCTGATTATTTTTCGGTCCTAACATGTTCTTGAATTTTGGACCAAATAGAAGCGAAAATGAAATTGTTCGGGACAAGAAAATGGTGATTGAAGAAAATTTCCCAATACTTTTCAGTAGTACGGGAAGAATATATATCTTTTTCCATAGCTACATATACGATGACCTCAATTATTTACACTTAATGAAGATATTATTTAGATTTTACTAATTGTTTGTTTGCATTTTAGGTCTGTATTTAATGTCATAAGGAGATATTAGAAACAATGAAACTGCAAAATATTTCATTGTCAAATCATCACACAATTTTTAAAAAGTCATCCGAACGAGTATAATAGTTCATCTGAGTTAATTCAAATAGTGAATTAACTTCCATAATTTGGCTATTTTTTAAAACATGACTCTTATTCTTTGAAAAACTTTGTTTTAAACATACTTATATGAATTTAGATCTTGAATTAAATTATATATACCAAGCTTAGTAAATATATATTAAAAGGTTATACGACATGAGGCAGGGCGATATGGGTTGAAACTATTTTAATCAACTTAATATGCAATTTTCATTCTTTCTTCTCTATTTTTCATCATTTTGCCTTTTTCTTTTCTTTTTTCTTGTAACTAATGTACATTTTTACATTTTTTTTTCATGTTTCCATATGAGGTTTCAGCATATTTATCACACATTTTCTACTAATTTCTCTTTTTCTTTTTAATTAAAATATAATTAGAAATTTGTCTGTACAAGAGGTACTAGCTTTTCGAACTATCATAATTTTAAACTCAATAATTTTTCTCAATGATAAGTCTTTCTAGTCAATCTAAAAATTATTTAAATTGTTAAAAATAGAAAAACTTAAATTCATATAAGGAGAAGTTAGCTTAAATGAATAAACAAATTAGGAACTAAACATTCATTTGGATCAAAATTAGTCATCACACTGTGACTGAACCCGCATCGACGTATATCTTAACATTATCTTAACATGTCTCACATCGGCCTACACTAAAATCTCGTTAAATTTATATATGTAGAAACTATTAAATATTATTATTTGTAACGTATTAAAGAGTGTTTTGAGATTCAATAAAGGTCAATTTCGATTACATTTAAATCATGATATCTTACTAATTTATGTATCATATTTATTGAATTCACATAAAAAAAATTATTATACACAAAGTACAATGAATACATCAAAAATTGTATCTTACTAAATTATGTATCATATTTATTGAATTCACTTAAAAATAATTTATAATACATAAAGTACAATATATGTGTCTGATTCATTATAATATATTCTTTAACTTGGGAACCAGTTACGTGCAAGGTGCAGTTCGAAAAGATAATATCGAAACTTTTGGATGCAATAAGAAAAACTAGAGATGGGCTTCCACTAAATTTAAATTTAACAAAAGAAAAAATCAATAGAATCATATTTTACTAAATTATCTTAGATATATTTAAAAAAATATTAATTAAATCATATATTTATAAAAGAGTCTTCTAAAAATGAATTAACTTATTATCTTATCAAAATGAGTGATTTTTCATTTTAATGTTCTAAGTCAGAATCAGTGAAAAATAAGATTATTAATTTACGGAGTACTAATTTAGTGAATGCTGGATGTCAAAAGTTAGTCCAAATATAAGGTGTACTGTGAAACAAAATCGAAACGAAGGCCAGAACTTTCTCAATTCCGATTCTACAGAGGTAATTCTCCTTTTCTTCTGCTTCTTCTCTCTATATTTTCAAACTCGGATTCCACATAGCTTCTCTATGGTTGTTGTAACAGTAGACATCAAAATGCGCTTATTAGCATTATCAATCTGACAGTTCAATTTTCTGCTGATTTCGGGATTCAATGGACTAGATCTGGATACAATTGTTATTTTGACTTGTTTTGACCAGTGTTCCTCTCAATTTAGTTCCGACCTTTTGTTTAAGTCAACTTGATTTTTCTTCTGATCTAACCTGTACGATTTGTTATGTAATGACGAATATACAGTTCCTGTTGAAGTGCTTTTAGGACAATAACTACAGACTATCTGTTTTCACTGTCGCTGTGATGGCGCGTGAAAGGTTGCTTCATGTTTATACGTTTCTGATCCAGATTTGAATTTTCTGTTTTTTTTATTGTGTGGTGGTGGTTTATTTTTTCATAAGCTGCTTCCAATTATGATCTGATGATGGAAGTAAATAGTATTAGTATTTTTCTTACTAATGCTTTATAGTTTACAATTTGGATGGCATGGATCTTGCGGTTTACTTTGGAGTTTGAAAAGATTTTTTGGTCAACCATAAAATTTTAAATATCCAGTTTTTGTTTGTTTAATTCTTAAGCAAGAGTTTAATTGAGACAAGTAAGTGTTTAGCATTATGGTTCAAGTTCTTGGAATCGTGTTATTCAAGTTCTTTAATCCAATTGCATTAAGTTAATGAACTGAATGGATCAACCAGTTGATTATTCACCCTCCATGTGTACTTGATATAAAGGTTTCGTACTCTTAAATTCAAGAGACAAGTGTGAGAGAGACAGCATGGTAATTTTGTCTAGGATAGAACTGAGATTCAGTTGGGAATATAGTAGAAAGTATACAAGCCTCATGTTGACATGACACAATGTGGATTTTTGAATCTGACTTACTGAGATTGGGTGGATTTGCTCTGACCAAAGAGCAGATGAAGAAGAGAAAGGAAGAAAACTTGGATGAATCCTCATCTAAGATTAGAAAATAGTTGCTTTAGTAGAATAGATTGTGTTCTGAGAAGAGAATGATAATAGCTTTTCCCTTCTTATATTCTATTTAGCACATAATCTCTTACCTGTTAGTTCCACATTGATTATTCTAGATTGGTTAGATTTGGAACTAGTAAATATTGGACTGCAAACTCTTAATCATTTAAATAGGAGTGGAAAAATAGGTGATAAACTACAAGAAGTCGAGATCTGGTGCCAAAACATTAATAAGCTTCTCCTGCACACATACATATAAGAAATACATGCTATTCTACTCTTGGAATCTCATAGTGCTGTAGATTAACTGCTTGTGATTTTTCTATTTTGCTCAGAGCATTATTAAACTTATTATGATGTTATTACTATCAAATTAACTGAATGGCCATCATCTAAATTTCGTCTTTACATAGTCAATCGTAATGTAACAATGAAGATTGGCTTTTCTTTCTTGCTATAGTTTAATGCATGGTAATTCATGTTATCTTCTAATAGTCAGTTATGTCTCAAATGTTATCGAGGATCTTAGAGAGATACAATTCATTTTTCATTGCAGTTGTTTCAGTTTTATAGACAAGAAATGGAATCTAGCAGGGGTGGCCAGAATGGAATTCAACTCCTTTTAGCTGCCGAGCAGGAAGCCCAACGCATCGTCAATGTTGCCAGGACTGGTAATTGCTTTTACCTCCTTTGGGCATCCAGTTTTCTTACCTTTTTGACCTGGATCTTTGTCGCTTTAACTACACTATCAGTTATGTCTCTATTATGGTGCCCTTATATTTGTCCTGTCGTGGTGTGCATGCTTATTGTCTTTGGATGCTTTCATATCTTTTGAACCTAGATTAGCATATGCTAGTTGTGTTTACATCTTTGGGTAATAATTGAGTTGTAGTTGGCAAAATTGTCAACCAAAAGCTTGTATTTTGGTATCTTTCTCTTTACTGATCAAACAAAAATGAAATGTCATATTTTGGTATCTTTTATTTCTTTTGTCTAACTTTTAGTATGAGTTGTGTTTCTGGTCTTCTTGACCTTATCATTTAGAGCACTGTGAATGCTTGGGATTAGGTTTATAAAAGGAGCATGTGTGCTAACATGAGTTTCATGTGCAGCTAAACAAGCTAGATTGAAGCAGGCCAAGGAGGAAGCTGAGAAGGAGATAGCTGAATTCCGTGCTTACATGGAGGCTGAATTTCAGAGAAAGCTTGAACAGGTAACTAGGACACAAATTGTTTCTAGAAGATCCTATTCTCACATGAATGGTATCAAGTTGTTTGTTCTCAGAAAATAATGACTTCTACCAGATCTTGTCCTCCTTTTAAATGCTTTACATTTTACACTTGATCATAGACAAAAGGATAAGAAAGGTATCACAGTGTGCATTGTCAGCAAACCCCTCTATATGTTTTCTTGTCCTCTATGGGGTCGTTTGGTAGAGTGTACAAGAATAGTGCTAAATATGGTGTATTAGTAATGCTCATTAAGAATGTTGGTATTAGTTATGGTTGCATTAGTTATGCTAAGATCATTTCTTATGCAGTGTTTGGTTTGGTGTATTAAAAATAACATATATTGCATAATTTCTAAAAAACATGTTTGTTTAGAAAATACCCTCCACAAATATGGTAGAAAGGATGTGGAAAATATTTTTGAGGCACTAATTGTGTCTTTACCCATGCTATTGTTTGCATTTTAAAACTCCTTGCATTAGTTATATTATGAATTTCCATGTATTAGTTATCTTGAGATTACTTCTTTTGCAGCGTTTGGTTTGGTGTATTAAAGCTAACATGTATGATGTATTTCATAATTTTTGAAAAAGTATTTGTTTTCAAAAATACCCTCCACAAATATGGTAGAAAGGATGTGGAAAATGTCTTGAGGGGTAATTGTGTCTTTTACCATACTAATGCATGCATTGGTACCCTTTACATTACTAATACCAAATAGAGTGTATATTTTTTTTTGAGATAAAGGTAACTGTGTATTCACAAAAGGCTCATCATCAAATAAATGATGAGCATAGGTCACTTACAATCTCATCGGAGCATATCAAACTACCCTATGGGAGATTACAAATTACCTATGAAGTCATCAAAAAGTTCTATATCCCCCATCATATCTTGTTTACACCAAAAGTACAAAAGACTAAGACAATTTATTCTAATTTTCTGGATGTTGTTTCTCTTATCCTCAAAGCATCTTCCGTTCCTTTCTTTCCATAGGGACCACCAGATGCAGGCTGGGATTAACTCCCACCAATCTTCATTTGACTCCCTTCTTCCTATCTCCTTCCAGCTGTAGAGCAAATCCTTAGTGGATTTTGGAATTGCCCAGTATACACCAAGAAGACCAAGAAACATGTTCCACAAGCTTGTAGCTACCAAATAGAGTGTATATACTTATACATAGGTTGAAAAAGTGTACCAAACAAGGTACTAGTAATATACAACTAGTGCATGCATTATTTTTCTAATGCTTTCGACCAAACGGCCCCTTTAGATCCCTAAATATGGTTTCTTTTCTTGTCTAGCATGTTTCTAAGTGGTGATAACAAAAGTGGGTCCAAATTTAATCCTCAATGACCGACACTAACAATATACTCACTCAGAACTGCATCAATTTTCCAACTTCTCTGTCCTTGTGGGGGTGTGGGAGAAAGGAGATGTTTTGGGCTGTGGGTCTGACTTCTTTTTTCTATGATTGACTAAGCATGGTTCCTGATTTCTCTCATTTACAGACTAGTGGTGACTCAGGTGCTAATGTCAAACGTCTTGAGATTGAAACTAATGAAAAGATCGAACACCTGAAGACTGAAGCGTCAAGAGTCTCTGCTGATGTTGTCCAAATGCTTCTGAGGCACGTAACCACAGTGAAGAACTAAAATCTTCTGTGGATGTAGTGGGTCACGCTTAATGTCGTTTTGCAGATTTATGCTCCCCTCATTCATGGTTCTTGTGCTTGATCAGTCCGATGGATGTTCACCATTTGTATCGTATGTTTGTTATCATTATTTATTGTCTTGCTCTGTTGAATAAAGTAACTCATTTGAGCTCCTTTCTACCTATGTTTTGTAAACGAAAGATCAGAAACCAAGGTTCAGCGTCTAGGCAGCACATCAGTTTCTTATGTATCTAGATTCCAAGGAGTTATGTAATGAACTTGTCTCTGCATGTATTGTGTTATATGAAGTGATGCAGCTGTAAACAGGAGTGTGACTTTCTTTCTGTTGATAAATTTGCAGTTTCAATATGCTTTTTCTTTCCATGATCTTGAGAAGATTTTTTATTCTGTAATTACATATCTACAATGTCTAGCATCAGACTGATACACTTCAAGAATGCAACATAGAGAGGTCTTGAAGAATTTGTACTGCAACTATACCACACGCAACTAGTCCTACAGAGACAAGGGCAGGTCTTGCTATTGATATTTTCGGTTCATTGTCCTTTCCTTCTCTATTATGCATAGCCCATGCCATTGCTGGTGGTAGGATGCCATATAGCATCGTCATGCAGTAACCGCCCTGCAAACATAACATTATAATGAAGAATTGATATCGAAAGGGCATTCTAGTTTTATTGAATGAAACATGAATTTAAACTCACTGCTATATCTGTAGCAGCAGAAAATGCATCTGGAATTGCTGTCGACAAAAGTAGAGGGGGAGCAATGGCAATTGCTGTTGCTGTGAAGCCTAAATTGTTTCTTATCCACCATTTTCTTAGACGGAGCTGAGAAGTTGATCTCTGCTAGGTTTTAAATTAAAGTAGTCAGACAAGAGACACTAAATTTACACCCAAGAAGCCAAATGTTACCTGTAAATCTAATCTTGTGGATACACGTGATTGCAGGTTAAGGTTATTGAGTTGCTCTTTGAGAAACTCAGAGAAACTTAGAAGAGTACCAATTAGAGATGTCCCCACAGCTAGAAGAGAGAATGCCTGTATCATATATGAAACTCCACTCCATTTGACCCTGATAATGTATTGTCATTCCATATACATCTTATTGGCAAGTCAAGACAGTCGTATCAAAACGTTGATCAAGAGGGAGTGTAAAATGACCTGAGGAGCAATTCAACAGGGTCAACAACTTGATCAACCTGGGATGAAAGGCCAAAGGCAATTGCATCCCAAACAAGCAACGCTAGGAGGGGAACCAGACCACCAATCAACACGGAAGCTCTTATTCGTTTCAGATCACCTTCCAGGTAAGCACACAGAACTGCAACAACAATCACAAATTGGTGAGAAAGAAAAAAAAGGAGAAAACACTTGTAAAAAATTTGTTTGTGTTTGTTCACCAGGAGCTAGATCATGGTAGACTAAAGAGAATATTAATACTGGTATGGTTGATGGAACTTTTCCCCAATCACTGCTTCCTTCGTCTCCTGACCACCCTCCATATAAAATGGTTAGAACCTCAATTGCCACAAGCAGTCCTGTTTGAACTTTTATTCAGATGACCCACCCTTTTTCCTTCATTAAACAAATGGAAACGAAAACATTCATCATAGCTACCTATCATAAGAGCAGTGAGCCACTGATTGACTTGATCAGTGGCTTTTGTCCCACCTACAGATATGAGAATTGTGAAGAGGGAAGTGAAGAAAAAGCCCAAAACTGATTCCGGTAGATTAATCAAATGGCAGAGGATTTCACCAGACTTGGAAATGTAAGCGATCATTGAAGTGTATCCTAAGAAGACATAGGTTACCGTAGCCAAGGCTCCACCCCATTCTCCTAGTGTTTCTTCAGCCATTGTTCTAATCGAAATGATCTCTAGTTCACCGTCTTCAAATTTCACTTTGTTCTTTTTGAGTAACCCCACATTGATTTCAACTAGTACAAGTGCTTCAATTAGTAGAAATGCCCAACACACTGTCATAGCTATTGAACTTGGGATTATTCCCTGCAATTCACAACATAACCAATGTTGTAACATTGATCTGAAATCAACGTAATGGTTATATGTTTGTGCTTATTTCTTTTCACTACCATTCCATTTATAGAGGTTCACATTGGTCTAAGCCTTGGTGCCATATTTACTTAGTACATCTGCTTCAGTGGAAGATAACAGATACCAATGAAAGACGCAAGGTGCACGCCGAACTTAAGAGAACACTTTTTAGGAGCTAAAGAAAAGAGTAGATACCACCATTGCCCATGATTTCTAGTTTCAAAATATGCAGCAATAATATAATAGGAGTATGTTAATATGATGGCCTAATAATAAAAGAAGAAACATACACCCTCTGTCCAACAATAGTTGTCCACTATTGACTTGACATACACACCTTAAGAAACAATAAATAATAGGATAATATTACTACATTACCCTTTGATTATATTAAATTTAATGATTTGGGAAATATATTAGATATTGAATACTAGTATTTAATAGCAACGGTAAACTAGACACAAAAGGGTATATTATCTGTTGATTTTCTAAACTGGACAAGTATTGTTGGACAACTATTTTTAGTATGATGGACGGAGGGAGTATATAGTTACCGCAGGAGAAGTTTTTTGGGAAAGAGCAAGAATCCCAGAACCAATACTTGTTCCAATGATTAGAGCAACAGCACCAGCTACTGTGCCTTTTTTCTTGTAAATTCTCTGAGTCACTTCAGAACATTCTTTCCCTCCTTTTATTGCTGAAATTTTCCATGAATTTGGTGCCCATTCTCGTCTACGTTGCCTTTGCTGATAATTGAAACTGTTCAGAATTTATAATTGAAAGAATTATAGTGTTAGATTATCTATGAAAACTGAAGTTGAAGTGACAATTATAGGTAAAGAGATTAGAGTGACATATACATTCTGTATTTCAAGACAATTGTCTTCTTTTCTTGATGCCATAATGGTAATTTTGCCCATTGACAATGTGATCTTGATTCATAAATTCGTGTGACCTTTCCATTAGTGAAGGAAGGTGAAGAAGCTAGGGAATGAATATCCATGAGATAGATTCCCTACTATCTTGGAAGAGAAAGAATCTTTGGAACTTGGTTGAAAAAGTTTGCAATATTTAAGTCCATTCTATCACATGGGGATGCTGAGGTTCAAATTAACTTTGGGGCCACTAAAAATGTTATTGTCACAAAAGTTCCCAAATATCACTACCTAAAGATCCATTCTTCCCACTACTCCTCTCCGTTTTCATTAAGTTGTCATGTATACTAAAAATAATTGTTCTCAAATACATTTCTTGTTCACTTTTTTGAAAAATCGTCGTTTCACTTTTCTTTAATCCCTTTGTTCAAATTCAACTTTTTGATGAAATGACCACTTATCCTAAAAACACACAATTAACAATGTAAACAATAATTTTAAAAATATACACACATATACAACTTTTACTTGTCATTTTTAACATATCAAGTAAAGGTCAAAAAAAATTCCATGTTTTTTTACCTTTAGCATTATTTACTTATTCTTCAAATAAATTTTCAAGACCTAATACTAAACATTAGTTAATATGGATACGGACAAGCGCCAAAAATACCCATGGACTATTTGAAAAGGTTTAAAAATACCTCTCATTCACCTATTGGGTTAAAAATACCCCTGAATCCACCACCTATTAAGCCTATTTCTATCCTTAAAACTAACCACCTTTTTTATAAAAAATATATTATTATTATTATTATTATTATCACTTATTACATGTCATTTTTTTTATTAGATAAATTAAATCCCCCAACCCATTTAGTTTTCTCCTACCCATCCATTTAAGTGCCCATGACCCAAACTCAATTAGAAAACCCAAACCCAATATTGGAATTTAATAAGATAGGGTTCTCAAGTACCGAGACCGATTTTGTGTACGGAATGTGGAAAAGCCTTAGAAAATAAAAATGACGGAAGTTTATCATTTGTGGTATTCAATTCACCCAAGAGAGATGAAAATGTATCATGACCTCAGGTCTATTGGTGGAATAAAATGGAAAAAATATTGTGGAGTTTGTGGCTTAATGTTTGAATTGCACTAGTAGCCCGGAGGACTAGCTCAGAACATATAGATTACAAAATGGAAATGAAAAGTTATTAAGATAGATTTCATCACATGTTTACCCCGCACTTACTGGGAAGTATGATTCTATATGAGTAATTATCGACAGGATTATGAAGTTAGCTCATTTTCTATCCATTAGAACCACATATGCGGCAGAAGATTAGGCCAAGTTGTAAATAAAAGAGACACTTCGACTCCATGGTGTTTTGATTTCTATTTTCTCAGATAGGGAAGCCTAGTTTATGACTAACTTTTGGAGATCCTTCCATCGAGATTTAGGTCCCAGGTGAACCTCGGTACAACATTTCACCAGCTAACAGATGGCCACAACAAGTGCATTATTTAGATGCTCAAAAATATGTTACAAGTGTGTTTGCAAAATTTCTAAGGGAGCTGGAATGATCACTTTCCTCTTATTGAGTACCCAAACACCATAAAAGTTCTTAAAAGGACCTAAAACAAATAATCCAAACAGGTGCTTAGGCATTTGTGAGAAACATGCTACGAAGAAAGGCAAGTTTTGATGGGATAAGTGATCAAACGAAATGCACAATGCTTTAAAAAATATCAAACTCGATTTTTCTTGAATAAGTTTGCTATGATCAAGATTAGTGCTTTTATTTTCTATTGAATATCATTATCCTACTCGGTTGAGGTTTACACAGGGCCTGAAGTTCAAACAAAGAATTGTACGACAATTGGTAACACAATAAATTTATTTCATTAAATTTGAAATATCATGAATTAACATATTCATACATCTCACAATAACAATTTTACCTGGACTCAATAATCACAATTGTTTTTAACTCCGAGTGAAAGACAATCAAGTGGGGAAGTACAGGTACAACATGAGGTTTTATATGGAACAAGAACCTAAGATAGCCTAGTCCATCACACAACTTATACATTGCTGTAACTCTATAAAGAGGCAAACAGGAGATATCTACCTCCTCTAAACAGTACCTCCTAAGGGTTGGTAAAAAAAAACTATTCAGGAAAAAAGACTTCTTAAATTTGTAAGGAGAGGCAATTTAGCCAGAAGTTGTTTCACTGTATAAAGCTGCTCGGTTCCGTTCAGAGGGTAACCTCAGCTGATTCAGGTGTCGATGACTGCAAAGGTTCCTGTAGCTCAGGATTAATTGGGAACATCATACACTGTGAATACTGAGCCATTAACTGATCGACAAGCACCAAGGCCACCATTGCTTCAACCATTGGAACAGCTGTAGCA